ATCCAGAGTTCCGCAAGCGTAAAACTAAGAGAAAAAGGCAATATGATGAGGGCGCAGATGATCCATCTATTATTTCACAATTGGCAGAGGAGTCATTTAGGGTCAATATTTTTTTGCATATTGTTGATCAAGCTATAGTTTCACTTAACACAAGATTTGAATAGTACGAGGGGTATGAAAAAATATTTGGTTTCTTGTTTACTTTAGCTGGCTGCGATCCTTGGATGACAAGAGTTTGTTGGTTGCCTGTGTTAATCTTGAAGATGCACTTAAGAATGGAGAACATAAAGATATTGATGGACTTGAATTGTCTTGCGAGCTACTTTTTCTCTAGGACTCACTTCAGAAATCAATGGGCCCACTTGATATTCTGATTTTTTTAAGAAGTGCTCCTTAATCTATCCTTATGTTGTTATTGCATACAAAATTTTATTAACCATTCATGTGACATTTGCATATGTGAAAATGACTTTTTCTAAACTCAAGTTGTTGAAATCCTACTCGAGTTCTACTATGACACAAGAAAGACTCAATGGATTGGCAACAATAGCACTTGAAAATGATGTCTTGGAGAAGATTAATAGATATGAAGATTTGATCAAAGATTTCATTTAAAGAAATACTTGAAGAGTGCTGCTTTTTGGTAGAAAATGAGGTTAGTTTATTGCTTTAGTACCATCTTTACTATATTACCGTTAGTATTTGATGTATTTCCTAAATACTGTACCAAATAAGACATATTTGAAGTTAAATAATTAAGTGAGAGTATGTTGTACTTACATTTTCGTTTTAGGCCCCCAAATTTCTTGAGATGGCCATGGGACCATGTACTGGCATTGCGAGTTGGAGCAGTCGTTGCCTTCCATGCCGAGCTGTGTGCACGCCATGAAGTCGCACGAAAACGAGGTGTAGGTGGTGGAGTTGTTGGGGTCGACAAGCACCGACCTGACCATGGAGTTGTAGTGTACCCACGACACGTCGTTGCCAGTGTCCATAATCATGGCCTGCTACACCGTCGGCGAGTCGATGCCGACTGTGATGATGTACTCCAGTGTGCCTAAGGCAGAAGCTAGTTCTATCGACACCTTGACCTACACCAACTACTAGAGCCCACCGAGGTAGTGCTGGACGTAGGCAACTCGGATATTGTCACGACGGAGCACCTTTTCGAAGGTAGGCTCCTCCTTGGTGGGCACCGGCGAGCATATGACATACTGTCGTTCAAGGGAACCTTGGCTCCATTGGACGCCGATGGAGTCGGACTCACTGCAAAATCAACGCACGGATGGAACAATCATTAACCAAGTTTTGCAGAAACTGCGCCCATTCATCCACACCACTGATTTAGTACATACCTTTGGTCACCAAATAGTTTGCGGAGGGGGTGAGGGGCATTGGCCCCTTCATCTTAACGCATAGCTCTATCTCTGTTAGTATGCCGGTATGTTGTATTTGTGGTGTAAATATATATTTTATATTAATTAGACAACCCTAACCGAAAATCCTGGCTACGTCACCACTGGACGAGAGCATGGCAGATAATGCACAACATGAGGCGGAGCTAGTTTGAGACGAACGTCATGGCTTCTCCTTACATCCCAGGGGATCTTGAAATCCGCTTGGTGCTGCGCGACGGGAGATGGGTCTCTAGGTGGCAAGAGAAGGGGGATTCGCGAGAGGAATTGGGGAGAGACCGAGAGAGACAGAAGCAACTGGTGTCCAACCTGGAGGGCAGATGCAGCGGCGTGTCATGTTTGCCTTGCTACTAGTGAGTGAATGCTTGCAGTAGCTAAGCAAATAGTGACGACATTGCTTGATTTGTTACTAGTGCTTTGCCAAGGGGCAGGGCTACTTATAGGAAATGCAACTTCAGGAGTAAGTAATTCCTAAGCTAGCATGGATGAAAGTTTGCATGTGTGTTCTCAGAGGGAAAAGGAGGAAAAGAAAACATCGTGGACCGCACACGCCTGCTAACCTCAATGACATGTGGTCTCATTATATATTGGAGCGTACTCTACAATCGGATGCGCGATTCTAATTCATTTTCCTTTTTTTCTTTTGCAATGAAAAGGTGAATATATTGAGTGACAATCAGAGATACACTTGGAGTATAATCGAAAAAAAATATACACTCGTTGAACACATTTTCCTTTCATAGCTAAGCAACACAATTAAGGTCACTAATGAAGTGTCTTTTTTCTTTGGTACGTACCGCGCTGCTGTTGCTTTGCCGCAATTGCTCATCGGTTCACCCCACACATCTAGGCCCTCAATTGTTTTCGGCAGAACATTTCATTTTTGAGAAACGTGTTGGTGATGCCGTGCGTCGGAGCCATTATCGATCGGGCCAAGGACGCCATGTGAAACTGAAGTTCATGCTTGCTTAAACGGGTGGCTGAATCGTGCAATGCAAGTGCTGTCACGGAGCAGATCAGGTGTGTACATGGATAAAGCCAAACGGCCAAACGACGATACAAGGTGCCAGATCGGAATGTATGTATGTGGTCAGATGCTACTAGCCCTCGGAGACTACAACCGACGTACGTGATGATCGGTCTTTTTGCTACTTGTTGGCTTTGCTTTGTTTGCTCACTTGTTCTTGTAACATACTAGCGTAACCCGCGCGGCGGCACGCCGCGCTCGATGATCACTTGCAAATGTGCAATCTATTGATTCAAGAGTGGATCAGTGCATGCACATTTAATCTCAGAACAGTGCATATAGACATTATATTAAAGAAACCGCGCATATAAAGCTATTAAATTTTTTCAAATGTAGGGATACAAAGATACAAATTAAAAGTGGCACACTTCTGAGGCAAACAAACTATTTAAACTACATACAGTTCACTGTAGGCAAAGAACTGTATATAGAAACACAAACACACTACATAAATGAGCTAGAAGTAGTTGTTGGTGGATTAGATCATCCTAGTATACCCTCCTGCAGGATTGGTGCTTGTGACAAAGTGATAGTGATTTTGCAAATTCCCGCACACGTCCGACGGGAGGGTTCGCGCCTGTGTATGTGATAATGGGATCGTCGTTGTTTGGACGCTGGGGATACATGCGAAGTGGTAATATATCAAAGAAGTTGTTGCATATCTTTGCCAGAATCATTGTTTGTCTTGTAATTTCATTTTGCTGTGCAGTTACTTGCTGGCGGGCCATGTTGAACCACCATTGCTTTGTTTGAGCCTTCTCTCTTGCTGTAAACAACCTTTCCTTTGTGACTTCAAGGGCATAGTAATTATGGTCTTCGATAGAAATATTATAGTCTGCACAGATGCATTGTAACGCCACCTGAGCTGCCTTTTCCATTGCTTCATCTTCTATATTAGCTGCCTCTCCTTCATATGTAATGGAGGATTCTCTGAAACTATATCTCTGTCATGGCAGAGCAATTAGTACGGACGCTTGTATCATACCTTCATGTACATACCAACAGGAGTAGCCTTGTACTTTTAGGCCAACTGTTCACTCACTGTTTCAAGTATTGGTCGTCTTGGAATGTATATACTATAAGATTCTCCTCCTGCATGGTAGAATTTGTAATATGATAAGTTGCTACTTGCAAGGGATAAACGAAGACAAAAAGTTAGGTGAAGCCAAGAGCTTACCGAGCTGCTTCCGCTCCCATGATCAAAATTTAGGACTGGATGTTTGCCCTTCTTAATTTGCTTTGCTACGGAGGATGCTCTTTGGGGGCGGTAAGCTTCGTCCATTGTGGTATACTGAGCTGATCTTGCTCGTGAATGCACAACCGGTAATATATAGAGCATGTACAGGTAAGTGAGTCAACGTTGCGCTTCGTTGAGGCCGCCAAATGGCATGGATTTTCTGCACGCTACTTCAGTAGGTGTCACACCTAGTTCTACATGGAGATAAAAGGAAAGATGGACCGAGTAGGCATCACTCAAATACCAACCATATATACAATATAGAATCAGATACAGAAGGAAATTATCAGTAGCAGCAGCGGCACAGGCACAGTAAAAAAGGTGAACTTACCAAGAGGAGTAGGCCTTCCTTCAAACAAAAAATACAAAAATAATAATATGATTGTGCGGTTGTGCCTGCGGTCACCACATCTTCAAAATAGTGAAAATTCATGAAACCACAAATGCTCAATCTGCAAAAACCTTAAACACTAAATGTAGTACTATGTCCACACTTCGTTTCTGATTCATTAGATTGAGCTCCGCATGTTATCAACTAATACTCCATCCGTTCATAAATATAAGCCTTTTTAGAGATTCTATAGTAGGAACTACATACGCTGCATTATCAAACTTGCTTGTAGATTCCTGCACCTCAAGTACATCAAAAGTTGCATAAATAATTAGTGCAAATTGGAAGGCTCACTATACATAGGAATTTGATTTCTCTCATACTTCAAACAGAAGAACTCAAACAGAGTAGCACGTCAGCGGAGCTGCATGCATGAAACACGTACATCAAAAAGCAAAAGGAGAGAGAGA